ATCGGCCAGCAACAGTGACCATACCCTGCGAGGTACCGATGGGCCAGACGTCGTATCTGGCGAGCCAGACCATGAGCTCGTAGTCACCGCTGGACGTGTCGTGGTTGATGTCTGCAGCAGTGAACAGGTCGTATGCGACGTTGCTGCGCTGGTTGGTGGTGTCGTAGACCCAGTAGGCCTCCGTCTCCAGGTTGGTGTACTGGTTCACCTTCTTCTTGGTGATCTGTCGTCCGGAGTAGACGTAGGACTTGACGTTGTCCTTTCCGCCGGCCCATGTCCATTTGGTGTGCCATTTGGCGCCAGTGGCTGACACGCTGTCGACGTAGGTGCACTGCGAGCCCGAGGTGGCGAAGCTGCGGCCCCAGATGTTGTTGTTAAGCTGGTAGCCGTTGCTGGAGAAGTATTCGTAGTCCTTGCAGAGCGTCGCTTGCTGCGCGAAGCCAACTGAGGCGAGAGCGCCAAGGATAAGAGAAACGACCTTCATGGTGGATGTTTGGCGGCTGGGCGTTGTTTTCGAAAGTTCCCTGCTGTTCTGGAACCCATCTCTTCGTGCGGACCGTTTGACCTTTTGTACTTGCCAAATTGCGTCCTCCTAACAGGTATCCCCCATGGCATTGTTACTCGACTTTAGACGGTGGTGATATTTGTAGTGGACCTTCATATATTATGAGCTTCGTCAAGCGCGATCCGTCCCTAGATTCCGAATGATCATCCACATGTTTCTATTGTAGTGGCAATCACCTCGTGGCAAGTGGTGCTAACGCGAACACCTGACATGTGTAGGACCACTACGGAGAAATCAAATTACCTCACCAATGAGAAGAGCATGGGCTTACCTCTTCTAGTCGCGTGCATTGGCATTTCTCGTCTCCCCGCGTACTTCAGCCTCGGAAAATTTACTCGGTCAATCTTAATATTTGCCGTTATCATTTCCCGGGAACCTGGCCTGCTCGAAGTCGTCCAAGACCCCGGAACAATGCCCTAGACCGTAAGCTCTTCCGACTACAACTTCCTCAAACTGTAACAATCGGCTCACCTACTTTTCGGCGGAATTTCGATGATCCATGGGCAAGGTAGGAATGATGCAACACCATTGGTTAAGCTTGACAAGCCTTAGTTCCCATGTGTACAAGCTCCGTAGATGGATGCCAGGTCTACGGAAACGATGCCCGATGTTCCTGGCTGAACGTGCTGTGGGAGCATGGTACATGGAAGTATCTTTGTGCGCTTGCTGCAACTGGAAATCCGTTTCTGCATGTAACCAGAAGAGACTGGCTTACGCTGTTCCGGAAACTCTTAGAAGCAAAGCAGGTCTGTAAAGCTGCTCAGGCTGAGCTGCTGTCTTGCTGGAGGAAAGGAGTAATTGGGTAGACTTTTCGCCGAAGACAACACCTTGCGGTACTAGCCGTGCTTGAATTCTAGACATGAGGACGATGCCCTCGTGATGTCGGAGTGTCCCGTTCGTCTGGTGTCGGGGGAACCACGTTGGCTACAGGGTAGCATGGGCGTTGTTTTCTCAGGTGTCACTTTTTGCCAAGGCGCGCAGCCGCATCTGGCCGCGCTCTCCCTCCCAACCTCATAAGGTCACCTACCTCTCACAGCTTCTTGCTGAAGTTCTTTCAGAGACAACATTCGTGTCATTCGCGCTTGCTTCCTTGTATTTTTTTCCCCATGTGTCAAAGAGCGTTGTGTCAGTTACCGAGGCTTTTTCGGAAGCCGCCGTACCGCGATTCCATCGTCAAAACGCGGCGCTGCGTCCTTGCCCACGCGTGAAGGGCCGCTTTTCGTTTTTGGATCTACCGCATGCCTCATCTTGTTCTATCACGTTGGTGTTCAGCGGTCTTCGTTTTTCGCTCGACGCCTCCGTGAAGTCAGAACCCTTGGAATCCCCAAGCGTTCTTGCACTGGACCTGATACCTAGGTACTGTTGAATGATTTCTCCATCAGAAGCTCGCTCGATAAGAGAAGAAAGAGAGCTGATCCATCCACAAGTGTATGGGCTAGTAGGTTGAGGAGAGGTTTGACGGTGATTAAGAGCTTGCCAGGTGCTGGGCTAGTTCCGTACCTAGCTCTCAGCGATCAAGTACAATCATGGCTACCTAGGTATCATCCATGGTATCTATCACGACGCCATGCAGTACTAAGAAGAATTGAAGCGAGTCTGTCCCCTTTCTCCAATTCTCGCACAGTCTCTGCGAAGAGGCGCGTCGGAGGTGAATGTCCACGAAGAGGGAGGGCATTCCTGATCAGCCAACTCTCATCTTGATTTTGCCCTGAGGCTTGCATGAAGTAGTTGTCATGAAACACACAACCTGCTGTATGTATTGGATACTTGTGTTCTGGGCGGACCGATCGACCCGTCCTCGGGGTTGATTTGTGAACGCCAAGGCACTGAGCCGCGGGCTCGGAAAGTGCTGTTGGCTCGTGCGGCAACCAAGGATCAGCACAATCCCTCCAACTGATCATAACGACTCCAGTACGGCATCGTCACAACAGTCACTATGATCGTTCTACACGAGGGCTAATGACGCGCACACACTGGATTCTCCGGCGAACTTCTGGTGCTTTCGTGTCCTGAAAAACTGGACATCTCTCGACAACGCGACGCGCGCTCCCTCGCTCATTTCCACTCTTCGTGGGCGTCTGCGGCATGACGGAACATCTTGACGCCGCTTTTCAGTGCTGTTCTGGGCGGCCGGATATGGCGTTCTAAACACTGAACCGAGATGAGGGTTGCTAGAAATATTCCATGCTTGCTCCACGTACTTCCAGGCCCGAGACGTGCAGTCACAGCGACTTCATGTCAAGTACATAACGCCGTATAGCGGCCTTTTCTCATTGTCAGGAGCCCTCTAGCAAGACGATACCGAGGCTCTCGGGCTTCGATGGCTCTAGAAGGATTTTCGCTAGATCATCCGAAGGGATGTCCTCGCTCATGTTTCATGTTGCTTGAATCAAGAACCCAAGATGCTGCACCTAGAACCGATCGTCACAGGGGAAGCACAGTGTCGCAACACCGCCTCTTGGATCCTGCATGCCCCATACGGTATAGCTATACGTTCACCTGTCACGCCAGCCTCTGCTCAACGGCCCAGCTGCTTCTAACGGCGGCTCTAGCCCCTTCCAAGCACTAGTCTCCCGTAGGATACGATGGTATTTCATGTTTGCCTGCACGTCTAACCGCCGCCACGTTCCTTGTGGCTGTTTTAGGCGGAGCACTGAACTGACATGTAATCACCAAGCGAGATGGCGATGTCTTGGGACAGTGACTCCGTGTATGGAAGGATTCAGCAAGTATAAAGCCCACAGGGCCTGCCTTCGTTCAAGGGGTACGCTTGACGCTCAACACACTCGTTCTCTACACGTTCTTTTCCAGTCTTTGAATTCTTCGATCTTTACTTCGTCGTTCTCTTCAGACAGTCACTCTTTATAAGAACAATTACTCAACTACCCAATCGACACTTCAAAGTTCCTCGTCCAAAATGAAGGCCTCCATCTTCGCTCTCGCTCTTGCCGGTGCTGCTAGCGCCCACACCACTGTTTACAGCATTTCTGTCAACGGAAAGACCCAGGGTCTCGGAAACGTTCAGGGCGGATACATCGACTCTCCTCCCAACAACAACCCCATCGTTGATGTCACCTCTAAGGCTATGGAGTGCAACGTAGCCAACATCAAGGCTTCCAAGTCCGTTGCCGTCAACGGTGGTGATGAGATTGCTGTAAGTACCTCTATGACATCCTCTGAATAGAACAAGCACTGACGACTTTCTCCAGGTTGAATGGCACCACAACAACGCTGACGCTAGCGACGACATCATCGACCCATCCCACATGGGACCCATCACTGTCTACATGTCCAAGGCCGGTTCTTCCATGTCATGGACAAAGATTGCCGAGGACGGCTACGATGGCAAATCATGGGCTGTTGACAAGCTTATCAAGGGCTCATACACTGGCAAGCCAGGACAGCACAAGTTCACTCTGCCCAAGGTTGCACCTGGCGAGTACATCATCCGCCCCGAGATCATTGCCCTCCACGAGGGTGATCGCATTGGTGGTGCGCAATTCTACCAGGAGTGCATCCACGTAAAGGTCGGTGGCTCTGGTACCACTGCTCTGCCCGCAGGTGTTGCTATCCCTGGTCACCTCAGCGCTCAGGACGCTGGTGTCCACTTCAACCTATACGGCTCATACTCCAGCTACCCCATTCCGGGCCCGAAGCTCTGGAACGGTGCCGGTGCTGCTGCCCCTGCTGCCCCTGCTGCCCCTGCTAAGCCTACCACCACAAAGGTCGCCGCACCCGCCGCTACCACCACCAAGGCTGCTGCCCCTACCACTACCAAGGTCGCTGCTCCCACTACCACAGCCAAGACCACTCTCGCCACTGTTGCTAAGCCTGCTCCTACTGCCGGCGGTGCTACCGCTCAGAAGTACGGCCAGTGCGGTGGCCAGGGCTACTCCGGTGCTACCAGCTGCGCTTCAGGCTGCAAGTGCGTCAAGCAGAATGACTGGTACTCCCAGTGCTTGTAAGCGCTCGTCTGAGTTGCGGGCGTTATCAGGACACTAAAAACGTGATGCTGGTGTCTTTGTGTGTGGTTCATGATGGACTTCTTTTTGGTAAAATTTTGTTAGTGTTTAGTAGGCTCTGCCTCTTGCAACAAGCGGCTTGAGCGTCGCTGCATTCGATTCTTATGTACATACATAATCCTCACGACGAATTGGATTTGATGCCTTTTCGGCTTTACCGGTCTCGCTGCTCTCCTTCTGCCTACACCTACTCTATTCCTTGTTCCGGTGATTTCACGGTTGTCAGAAGAGAACGTGAACAGCTCATATGTGACGAATCTGGTTCTGTCTAGGTGGCCCAAACACGTGATGTGAGAAACCTCGCGTACCTGCCCAGGTGGCTAGGTGGCTGCCTGAATTGCAATACTTCGCGACTGACACTTTACACATTAACTCTACACGCGGACTTTTCGTTTGCGTTGAGATAGTCCACCATGGATGAAGATTATCATATCAGCATGGGTCCCTCAGGTTTTGCTACTGAAGATACATGTCAAATTACAGTGCTGCGCGGCCACGCACGATTCGTCGTCAAAGTCGACGTCGCGCGAGTGAAGGACACAATTTTTGGTAGAAAGCTGCTACAAGAGATGGAGCTTAGGAAAGGGCGTTCGTGGAGCAAGACGAGGGACAAGCCACTTTTCGACCTGGTGCATCAATACTGCCAATCTCTTCTTGAGAGCTTGGCTCCGCGGACGTCACTCCAGGACCTTAGCATTGAAGCCTTTCTCCACTCGCCTACTTATGATCTAGAGCTCATCCAAGGAGACAGTGACGAGGATGTACGGATCGTGGGAGAAGACCAGTGCGCGTACACGCCAGCTTTCTTCACCTCCCCTATGCGCACCGCCGACTTGCCTGGACCATGCAAAACACTACGTCACTTCGAGGCGCGCAACGTTTGGATAGCGCGCACAGCAAATGAGGGGAAGAATCTCGATGCGATTCAGGGCCGAGTAGTAACGGCAGAGGGTGTCCCGCTTTACTTCAAACCGCGAATGGAGCTGCGTGAGGCAGAATTCGAGCGTGAGCTCCGTGTACTCAGACGCATTGACGAAGCCCGTCTGACAGCTCGGCTCAGAGTGCCTAGACTGCAGGGTGTGGTGGTGTCGGGCGAGGCTACCATCGGCATGTTGATGACACTGATCACTTCATCCAGCATGGGGACCCACTTGCGAAGTGCTGGCCTTCAGGACAGACAAGAGTCGCATAAACAGTGGGAAGAACAACTCACAGCCATCGTGCGGGAGCTCCACGCTCACGGCCTTGTGTGGGGCGATGTCCACCCGATGAATATTGTCGTTGACGAGGAGATGAACGCTTGGGCCATTGATTTCGGTGGGATGAACAATGTGGAGTTCGTGGATGACGAGAAGCGCGAGACCATCGAGGGTGACTGGCAGGGCCTCAGGAGAGTGTTTCAGGAGTGGCTTCCAGACGCAAAGAGACGGAGCCAGTGGTAGTGACGGTGAATGGCGCAGAGACGTCAGCTGTGCCACGTGTGTGATGGCCCGGTAACCCCAGTGCGCATGTCACGGCGTGTACCTGGCTGTGTTGGGACACCCGGGCCAGGTCAAATGCCATGCTTGACTAAGCCGGCTATTTGCGCAACAGGACCCTGAATCTCATCATTTCGCCGCCGACACTCGGACAACCGTGTCTGGGCCTCTGCGGAGATTGACAAGTCTTAAAACATCACAACATGCCTCACTTTCACCTGCCCCCTTAAGTTCTTCTCCAGACTCATGAGAGCTCACAAACCACCATCATGATCGCTCCTTCCTGCGCCTTTACCCGTGTCGGCTTGAGGCGCATTCCGAACGCCCCTTCCCCTCGGAACAGCAATCCCGGCACCTTCGAACGCGCACGCATCAACGTCCACCCCTCGAATGTCGTCCGCAGGCCACATGTCTCGGGGCCAAACACAGCAGGCAGAGTCGCGGACAATGCGCAGACGATTCCTGGGCCAAGCTGGCTTTGGCTCCAGCCCATTGTCGGACCCTTCCGCGCATACGGTCGCGCACAACAAAGGAGGCCATACAGGACACAACTCATATCTTCGCTCGTCATATACTTTATCGGCGACCTCGTTGCGCAGACCATTGCGCCCGAGGAAACCCACAAAGTGGCAGAAGATGCGGACGACAAGGGCTGGGTTCAAGAATGGAGCGACGGCCGTGACTGGGCCCGAACAGGGCGAGCGCTGATAATTGGAGGAGTCAGCTCTATCCCATCGTTCAAGTGGTTCATGTGGCTGTCAAACAACTTCAACTACAGATCCAAGATCCTGTCGCTTTCGACCAAAGTATGTGCCTCTACTGCATCCTCTGCGAACGTTTGCTCATTACCCAACAGGTCTTCATAAACCAGGCGTTTTTCACACCATTATTCAACTCCTACTTCTTCGGCATGCAGTCGCTTCTATCCGGCGCTACGATACCCGAAATCGTCGAACGCATCAAGAACACAGTGCCAACAAGCTGGATCAACAGCTGCAAAGTCTGGCCCATGGTCACGGCATTTAGCTTCACGTACATCCCGATAGAATACAGAAGCATATTTGGTGGTGTCATTGCCATTGGCTGGCAGACATACCTTAGTCTGCTCAACACAAGAGCCGCGGCAAAGGAGGGGAAGGAGCATCTAGCGACACACGACGCACCCGTAACCGTCCGAACAAATCACGCTAGAGTCGAGCATGGCATGTTCGGGCAGAAGTGCGCTGCGTAAACCACAGCTACTGCGCAACCAACTCGGAAGTCTTGCTACACCGTTGCACAAGGCAGCCCGCCATACGACTATTGTCGAAACATTCGTTTGCTGAACTCTCAGCTACTTCCATTTCCTTTGTTCGATTACAATAATCACAAGACGGTACATTACGCATTAGACGGAGTAAAGGATTCGGTCGATACCACGGGCGCTGCATAAAGAAAGCGCGAACACATCAGTCATACCATTAGAATTTTATCTATTTTCGCATACCTCTCGCTTGCTTTTCTGGCCTTTCTTCAGCCCCTAACCCACGGCCCACTCAACAACAAAACTTACGGCGGTTCTCGGCCCGAGGCTTTAGCAATACCCACGCGGCACCCACGCGGCTCCCACTCTGCTATGCCAAACGCACGTCATTTACACGAAAGAAGGCCTCCAGGAACGATAAGATCCGCTACAATTGCGATAAATGTCTGAATTAGGAGTCAGGACCGTGGCAAGCGCCGTGTGATGTCATCATGTCGAGCGCAGTAAATATGAACATGAAAATAATTCAAAACAATCTGTACATGCGCTTCGCTTCTAGACAGCACTTTTAAATACCTTTGAGACTATCCTCATCACCTTTTCCATATTCTGAAATACTGAATCTCCATTATGTCTACTTCTGCAGGCCGGCGCATAGACGAGGAGGCGAATACATCATGGCGCCAACGCTCTGAACTCGAGAAGATGGCCGATCTACCACAAAGTCTGGACGATGAACTTTCACGGCTCGACAAACAGTTTTGGATCTCCGGTTCTAAACTGAAGGAGATCGTCAGCCGCTTCAGAGAAGAGTTGGAAGAAGGCCTTACCAAAGACAAGCAGGAGGGCATCCCTATGAACATCACCTGGGTGCATAATTTGCCTTCGGGAAAAGAGAAGGGAACGATATTGACTATTGACCTTGGTGGTACGAATCTGAGGGTTTGCAAAGTAGATCTGCATGGAGATGAAGGCGGGAAAGAAGGAGATGGGAAGCACAGCATGGAGCAAGAACAATACAAGTTACCAGAGGAGATGAAGACCGGGGATGCCGATAGTCTATGGAACTTCGTTACAGAAAAGGTAGCGGCCTTCATCCAGGATCACAAGCTTGATCAGCAATACAGCGTGGAGAAGCCCATGCCATTGGGTTTCACATTCAGTTACCCAGCGACACAGAAACGTATCGACCACGCAGTCCTGCAGACATGGACCAAGGGTTTCGACATCAAGGGCGTAGAAGGCCAGGACGCCGCGAAGCAACTTCGAGAGAAGCTGCAAGAAAGGAAGCTACCGGTCGAGTTGATTTGCGTGATCAACGATACCGTCGGTGCCATGGTGGCCTCCACCTACAATGACCCCGAAACGATCGTTGGCGCTATTTTTGGTACTGGCTGCAATGCAGCTTTCATGGCCAGCCTCTCAAGAATTGGAAAACTGGACTCCAACGACGACAGAATCACAGACGCGTCATCCCACAACGGCGCAACGAAGGGTGAAGAGAAGATGGCGATCAATTGCGAATATGGCGCCTTCGATCAAGCCAAGCGTGTGCTTCCCCTGACAAAGTACGACGAGCAGATCGACGCAGAGAGCCCGCGACCTGGAGAGCAGACTTTCGAGAAGCTCTCCGCTGGCCTGTACCTAGGCGAGATCTTTCGTCTCATACTCGTAGATCTCCTCGATCGCAGTCTCGTTTTCAGTCAAGCCTCAGACCAGGGACTACAAAAGCTGCGTGAGCCATACAGTATCGATACAGGCTTCCTATCTCAGATAGAAGACGACGAGTCGCCCAAGTTCACCAAAACACGCGAACTCTTCCACTCTACACTCTCGATCCAGCCCACAGACGTCGAGATCGAGCTCTCGCGTAGACTAGCTGAGATGATCGCTGTGCGTGGTGCGCGACTGTGTGCCTGTGGTGTAGCTGCCATCTGCACCATGGAAAGTATCGAGAAGGGTCATGTAGCTGCCGACGGGAGTGTGGCAAACAAGCATCCAAAATTCAAGAGGAGATGGGCTAAGGCACTGGGTGAAGTGCTGGGATGGAAGGAAAAGGACTGTGGAGGAGATGGCCCGATTACGATTACCAGCGCAGAAGACGGGAGTGGAGTTGGTTGCGCGATTATTGGGGCTATGGAGTTAGAGAGAAGGGCGAAGACGAAGACTCACTAAGGAAGTGAATTTTGGTTGTGATGAAGGTACGCATGTCATAGATCAACACGGTGTTGACAGAATAACTGCCGTGCTCGTTGCTTCTTGGTTGGCTTGGGCCTAGCTGTGCCGCGCTCATCTACCGAGGTTGTTACGCAGTCAACACATTGAGGCAGTGTAGTAGTTCATCTTCAACCTCTTCAAGTAAATGTATATCAAATTTTATGGATAGAGTGCGTCACCAGACCTGCACTGCTGATCTAGAAGGTCGTCAACATCCACGATGCTTTTTGCTGGTTCGCCCAAGGTACGACAAGTTGACCTCGGCACATGAAATTTTGAAGAAGGCACGACGTGTTCACGGAGTCACCCTGATGCGCTCGTCCGCTCAGCTCCATACACAGCCTCCTGAATACTAGCTCACAGCTATGTTCTGACTGGGAGGCCACCCGGTACGGCTCGGCGAGAAGCGAGCTCAGATCTTGGTACCTGAGATGAAAGGATCAGCACGCGTCTCCTGCATCTCCGCTGTTTCTATAACAACTCTCAGTTCGCAAGTTGCTTTTGATGCTGTTCTCCGCGATGGTTCATGCTGCGCACTAAGGCGTTCAGATCTAGATGCGTTGAGATCTGTCATGGACCCTGGATCTCAATGCCAAACTTCACTAGTCGGCGATCTCGGTCTGCCGCCCACGGTTCACCCACAATCCGACGCACATCTTACCCACGGGTGCCAAACGGCACGTCGCGCCCCCGCAACCAACCAGCGATCAACTTCACCAACAGCGCGCCGTCATCAAGCTAGTGTCGCAGAGTTGCGTGGGACCTGGTCACGATGTGCGGTGTGCTGTTGGTTGTACCGCTGGCAGAGGGCGTGTGGGCCCGCAGGTACGGTGGCATGAGGTGTAAGAGTGATGTATGATGACAGGACCCGTGGGGAGGTTGTTTTTCTATCTTTTTGGAATATCCGGGTCTGTCAGTGTCGAGGCACGCAAATGCACAGGTTGAGGGGCGGTGCACGGGCAAGTGTACCGGCGCGGTGAGTCTTTTCATCGGCGAGTTCGTGCAGATGCCATGATGCAGAACAGGCGGTATATAACGTGGAGTCGACTTCAGCGGTCAAGAGGACACAAAATCGTTATCTCTGGCTACCGCGGCTACCTCCCAGGCGACGATCTTTAAACATAGCAGATAGTCCAGCACATTTCCTCACCGGACCTCGCTTGCCGAGACACCATCAAATCACCAACACATGGCTGGCGACTACCAGCTCCACACCGCAACTCCAATCCGCTATCGGGAAAACTTCGGAGTCACATCCGCGTGCTCGGCACGAGGCCACACCCACGCGATCACAGGTCAAATGTTCGCGCCAACACCATATGACTGCACCACGCCCCCATGGCCTGTACAAACCAGCCCTTTTCCGAATTTCCCCGTGCAGCAAACCTCGACCAACACTTCGCCGGCATCGCCTTTCGCGGACCCACGTCTCGCACGACCAGCGCCTCGTGAACACACCCTGCAAGATGACTTGTTCTATGCATTCACACGAGACGCCTACTTA